GGGGGGCAATTTGCTTAAGCTATAGTGGATGGGTTTGCAGTTACTTGCAGCCAAACCCCCTCATTCATATGAGTGGTATTTCAAAAACCTTTGTTCCCTGAGCAACAGATGTACTAGGATGAGCTGGGATATAATAACTTTTTTTTTTCCATTCTGAACACCTCAGTACTGTTTCTCCAAATGCATACATTGCCATGATATACACAGGAATCACAAATCTTTATAGTTTGTATTTTACCTTAAATGTTGTTGATGGATCTAGGGGCATAATTAATTGTTCTCACTTAAATGTAAGCAACATTGGTTTTCTGACATACGTTGTGTTTTGCTTTTGTTGTTGTTATGAATGAATTTTTTTTCCAGGTCCTTGTTACATTTTATTTTCCTTCAGGGCCATAGTGATTGGGTGATGGATATTGCCATTAGCAACAACAAGAAATGGATCCTGTCAGCTTCAAAGGTAAAGTGGCCAGGCTTTGAGTGACTTAAAAGCTCCATCACATTCTTCAGACTTGGTGCTAACAAATGAGTTATTGCCAAGTAAAATTTCTGGGCAAGCTTGGTCTGAAATCCAAAATGGTTGCCACACCTGGCCAGGCCATCTACCTTCAAGGAGCTTACTGGGAACACGGAGAGCAGGTCCTTCCATTTCCTCCTGTAAGGCACTGCCAGAGATTTCTGTGTCCACATCATTGATATTTGAGTTTGGTGCAAACCAGGGTCTGGCAAGACTGGTGAAGGATGGAGCCATCAAAGGACCTTGGCGGGAAGGTATCAGTTTATGAATAAGCAGCAAAGACCACCCTGAAGTTCCAGGTGGGTCTTCCCTCCTTATGTCACTGCATCTTGGGGTTCCTGTCTCAATGATACATAAAGGCTTAGAATATCCTAAAGACTGTTCTCTAAGTGTGAGCACCAGGGTAGTAGAGTCTTACCTTTCCCACCTTTACTACAGCCATGTCCTTCTCTAGGCTGGGGGTTTCTAGGATTAGAGATTGTGGGTAAGACTTTGTCTACTGTGACCAGCTTTTTAGAGAGTAAACCTTACCAAAAAAAAAGCCCATAATAATATATAATAAAGGATTCTATGCCTCTGTTGTTACTTTAACATAAAAACATGAAAAATAGGTATTTATTTGAAATTAGGTATTATTCTGTGTTTTTTACTGCTCTGTTTATAAATACTATAATTTAAACAACAATAGCATTAGTTAACAGGTGTAATTAATAGTAATTAACAGGACTAATTAAACAAGTGATATATATGCAAAAAATATAAAAATATTTAACAATATTTCTTTCTGTCCCATTATAGCAATTTACTTTGACTTTTTAAAAGATTTTTATTGGATATTTTATTTTTTTTTTGTCTCATTGTGTTTCTTAAGATATATAAAAGCCATGAGTTTTAAAAAGGGGAACAGAAAAATAATAGGACTGATTAAACAGATATTACTTATATTCATAAAAATCAACAACAGCTCATTTCTTTCTGTTCCATAACACAGTAGGATATTTTTACTATTTTACATCTTTTTCCAATAGTACTTCTCTAAATTGCCTGCAGTTTTTAGGACGTCCTTCTTTTATGTCAAACATAAAATTCACTTTGACTTGCAGCTCTGTTTTTACCAGTTCCATGCTATACTGATTCCTGGTGTCTGCCCAATGTGATGACATCAAATTAAATATTCTCTCAACAAAAATTTAGGGCAAAGAATACTTAAGACTTTACTTACTAGTAACAGTAAGTTTTCATATTTGTAGGAATTAGTTTCCAGCTCTCCAAAAATGTCCACCCATTTTTAATCAACAAGTTTGTTTTGTCAGACCAATATTTTGTTAATAAGGTCCTTTGTCACTATTAATTTATCATATAGGCTATATGTGTTTAAAATATCCATCATAAGTTAAACCTCTTTCTCAGGTACAATGGTTTTAAAACACAGAATAATTTTAACTTGTGAAATTGAAGTTAAATTCTAAATAATTTAGCTTTAGTAAAGAAGTTGAGAAAGTTCTGTTAAACTTGGCTTCCTTTTTCTGGTGATTTTTTCCTATTTAAAATTTTTTTTGAGTACTAAAGCAGTCTGGTTTCCAAGAATGAATTACCATGATTTTTCACTGTATGAGTTGTTGTTGCAACCTACAAGTAACACTGAAGAACTCAGGTCCAATTAGTTCATCCTTTTTTAGGCTTATTATATCTCTTCAAAGATCATGAAATAATGCATAAATTTCTGTTTTACTATAATCCTTTTTCCCACTCTTATCCTCAATATATTTCCAAATTAGAGGACATTCTTGTCCCACAATTTAAAATACACTCTCCTCATTTATCAACATGATTAGGTTGCAGAGACCAGGTTTTTACATGAAATCAGCATTATGAAAAAATGGAGGATGACTACATTATTACATACCTGTAAAATTGCATCATTACATACCTGCTAAATTACATCTTCACATATCTGCTGAACCACTGAGAATCATGGTCAGCTATGTTGAATAACTTTAACCCCCCCAGCTAGCATTACTCTTGCCTTGCACCTTGGTGTTCATTACTGCCAGATGTACATCCTTAATGTGCAAAACTGTCAGATAGTACATTTTTTACTTTTGTCCTAATGTGAAATGTTGGATAATAAGATAGTCAATAAGTTAGGAGAAGGTATATGATTTTATGTCAGGCAAATATTTTAATATCTTTTCTAAAGCCAACCATGATAATAGTTGTCATATAAGCACATGCCTGAGGAAGATCTCTCTTTCCATTTCTTTGAATTAAAAAATTCCATCAAGTGCTTCTGCACATTTTTAGAAAGGTAAAACGTGATTAAAAACCTTTATTTTGAAAGATTCAATATCACAGGTAATCAAATCATAATCATTTTTAGGAACATTGTGTACATGGTATGCAGGTCAGTTAGCAGGTAAGATTTTTTTTTTTTTAACTTTTCTTTTGTAAGAAGTTTTTTTTTCTTTTTAAATAACTTTTTATTGTGACTCAGGTGGAAGTTTACAAAGCAAATGGGTTTTCCATTCAACAATTCATACATACTTTTTTTGTTCCATTGATTTAAATCTCCACAATGTAATAGCACTTTTCCAACTTCTTCCCTGTGTTTACCATTTCTACTCATTTTTTCTATCACTTCCTGCCTTCTGAACTTTATCCCTGGGTGAATGCTCCCCTTTGATCTCGCATGGTTGATTGTTCTAAGGAATGCATACCTCCTTGGTTTTATTTTTCAAATCAAAGTACCTAAGAGTTCAGGGAAGCATTTTGTTGTCATTGTCACCAGGATTCAACATACTACTTGACATACTATAGAATGCATGACTGTTGGTAATATCTGATAGAATCAACTGTATTCTGTAAAGGAGACAACTCATCTATTATCAAAATTTCTCATTTTGTTCCCCCATAGAACATTAACTTGTAATTACTGAATCAGGAAATATAATATTATGTATTGTATTAGTTTTCTGTTGCTGCTATTATATATCACCACAAATCTAGCAGCTTAAAAAACACTTATTCATTATCTCATGATTCTGTAGGATCGAAGTCTGACACATTCTCCCTAGGTTAAAATTCTTTCTGGAGGCTCTAAGGGAGAATCTGTTTCCTTGGCCCTTCTAGCTTTTGAGATCATCTATATTCTAGAGACTATCCACAAGGGGCTTGCAGTCCCTTCCTCTGTCTTCAAAGACAGCAACATTGCATATCATTGAACATATTTAAAACAGTTAACTTAACATCTTTGATTAATAATTCCAATTTCTAGGCTTCCTCAGAGATGGTTTCTGTTAAGTTGTTTTTATATCGTGAATAAGCCATACTTTCCTATTTCTTTTTCTGTTTTGAAATTTTTTGTTGAGGATGAGACATTCTGACATTATGTTGTGTCAACTTTGGAAAATGAATTCTTTCATTCCTCAGGGATTGATAATTTTTGCTTGTTGAAGGCTGGAGCTATCTGTGACTTCCAAGCTAATTGTGCAGATCATGTATTCCTTGCTGTGTGTGGTCACTGAAATTTCTGTTTCATTTTATCTCCAGTCACCCTTTCTAGCTTTTGTTCAGACAAAAATTTCTTTAAATGTCTGGTTCCTAAAATTGGAAAGAAAAGAAAGGAAAGAAGGAAGAAAGGAGGAAGGAAGGAAAGAAGGAAGGAAGGAAGAAAAGGAAAGGAAGGAAGGAAGAAGAGTACTATCTCTTTCAATCCTCTCAACAGATGTAGTCTGGAAGTCCTTTCAGCCCATGAGTGTTGGAACTGTGTGAAACACTATGCTGACCCCTCAGCAATCAAAAGCAGCAATCAATAATCAAAGCATTTGTTTTGGTTACCTAGTACCATTCTAACAGAAGATACCACAAATGTGATGGCTATAACAAATAGGAGTTTGTTCTTTTACAATTTGGAGCCTTTATGTCTGAGTTCAAAGTGCCAGGCTCTAGGGGCTGGGTAAAAACCCCTCAACCTAGGGCTTCAGCTCTGTCTCCTGCTCCAAGCCCACTGAAGCTGGATGTTTTTCTTCACTCAGACAGCTGCTGGCTGCTGAGGTTGACAAACACAAAGCTGACAAGTAAAAAGGCACAGTTCTAATGTTGCCAAACAACATGTCAGGCTGCTAATTCAAGTCCAGGGTAAGTCTCAAGATTGGCAAGGCACGGCAGGCTGCTGAACAATAACTTGTTTACATGCAGGGTTCAAGCATGCCAAAAAGCTGGAGACCTTCCTCAAAGCTTCTTCTTCTTTTTTTTTTTTTAATTAGGATTTGGGAAAGCTGCTTCTTATATACTGGAAGCAGACCGCATCCCTAAAGCAGGGATGCTACTTACCTGCTGCAATAGATTCCACCATGAAGTTAATTATCAATCTCACCATGGGGAATAACTACATCCAGCTGCCCAGCCACTCAACCAGGTCCAGCCAAGTTGACACACAAACTTAACTACCACAGCATTCAACCCTGATATTTGGAGGACAAAGTCCTTCTTGCCCACGTTGGCACAAGCAAGCCATACCAGAAACATGAGCTAGCATCCCTGTGGCTGTCTGGTATGGGGTTGGGGGATAGAGGATAGTAACCTTAAGCAAAACTCAAAAGAAACCTAAATCCACCATCCTCTTCATCAAGCTTTCCCCTGAATATTGCAAGAGTTTGACTAGACTTCAGAGTTGGTTCCTGAAGCTTCTTACTCTGCTTTCTTCCATGATCCCCTTAATTTTATTTCTGGATTATTCATTGCAAGTGTACAGAAATACAATTTATTTTTGTGTGTTGATTTTGTATCTTGCAACCTTACTGAACTTGTTTATTAATTCTAATAGTTTTTTTTTAGTAGATTCCTTAGGATTTTCTATATCCAAGATCATGTAATCTGTATAGAGGTAGTTTTACTTCTTCCTTTTCAGTTCTAATGATTTTATTTCATTTTCTTGCATATTGGTATATTAGTGGGAGATGAAAAACTTTTGATTGATTTAGAAGTACTTGTGCATCTCTTCCTGGACTTGTGAGATGCCATCTCTATATGTACTTTCATGAGAAAGGCTCCACCATAAAACCAGTTGCCATGGAGTTGGTTCCTTATGTGTGTCAAAGCACAACTGTGGTTCATAGGGCTTTCAATGGCTTAATATTTTGTAAGTAGATCATCAGGCCTTTCTTCCAAGGCACCCCTGAGTGGATTTGGCCTGCCAATCTTTTGGTTAGTAGCCAAGCATGTTAATCATTTATACTACCCAGGGGGTCCTTTTCCACCATACCCAATCCCAAGTTCTTTTCTGAATATTATCCAGTATACTTTGTTCTGGTTATTTATGGCTCTAATTTTTTTTTAAGATATCACTTTGATAACTAAACTATGCCTCAAAAACAAAACAAAACAAAATCAAACTCACTGCCATCAAGTTGAACCTAACTCATAGCAACCCCTCCTTGGGTTTCTGAGGCAGTATAACTACGGAAGTAGATTGCCCAACCTTCCTTCCGAGGAGTGGCTGCTGGGTTTGAACCACCAGCCTTCTGGTTAGCAGTCAAATGCCTTAGGCAGTATGCTACCAAAGCTATTGTCTTTTTAATTGCTTCGTATACATGCAAAATCTGGACAATGAAAAAAGAAGACAGAAGAAGAATTGACTTATTTGAATTGTGGTGCTGACAAAGAATATTGAATATACCATGGAGTACCAGACAATGAACAAATCAATTTTAGAAGAAAGACAAGCAGAATGGTCCTTAAAAATGAGGAAGGCAAGACTTTGGTTCAATTACTTTGGACATATCATCAGGAATGACTGATCTCTAGAAAAGGACGTCACTGTTGGTAAAGTGGAGGGTCTGGGAAGGTGAGGGAGGCCCTTGGTAAGAGGAATTGACACAACGGCCAAACACAACGGAATCGAACATAGCAATGACTATGAATATGGTGCAGGACTCAGCAGTGTTTCCTTCTGTTATAGGTAACGTCATTGTGAGTTGGAGCCAACTCCATGGCAACTAATAACAACAGTCTTTTGGCATGTCTTCCCATCTGTCATTAAGTACAGTTGGTTAGCCTTTTTCTCTCTTTCTTTTTTTTTTTTGGTGATGTGTGGGTCATGCTAGCATTGGTCTTGTAATTGATCTTGTTATCATTATCTGAACTTTTAGAAAATATGATCACAATATCCACAATGTTAAAAATTATACTAGCACTATCATGATTCAAGGAGCTCTGGTAGCATAGTGCCTAAGGCACTTGACTGCTAACCAGGAGGCTGGCGGTTCAAACCCACCAGCCACTCCTCGGAAGGAAGTTTGGGCAATCCTACTTCCGTAGTGATAACTGCCTCGGAAACCCAAGGAGGGGTCGCTATGAGTTGGGGCCAACTCGACGGCAAATAACAACAACATCATGATACAAAGTTCATACAATTAATCCAGAAGCAAGGTAAAAAATAGGCTAACACTCCTGTGATTACAACACACTTAACTTACATCACTCTGTGTTATACAATAATCTATTATCGTGAATTGCAAATCACAGTTGACAACATCAGTGATAAGTGAGGGTGGACAGGACAGTGACAGCAGCTACCCAAAGTAGCTATCCATTTGCCTATTTGAAAACAAAATTATTTTGCTTTCAGTTACCTACTATGTAGGTTGTATCCTTTCCCCCTAAACTTTCACACTCATTGCTGAAGTATGGGACTTCTAATGAGCCTATTTTGTGACTGCTGGTTTGCTATTTAACTTGTTTTAGGATAAGACCATGAGACTATGGAATATTGAAGAAATTGACCAAATTCCTTTGGTAATCGAGTACAAAAAGGCCAAGGGCTTAAATGTGATACAGGTTGGTATGGGGTAAAATTAAGCCCAATGAAGTCTTATTAATTCATTCGACAAATTAATTCATTCTTTGAATAAACATTTATTGAGCCACTGGGGATACAACTTTGAACAAACAGACTAAAATTCTTGCCCTGAGAGAGCTTAAATTCTGAAAGGGGAGACAAACAACAAATAATAAGCAAGAAAAATATGTAGTAAGTCACATGGTGGTAAGTAACTTGGAGAAAAATAAAACAGGGAGTGGGAGTCCCAAGGGTAGAAATATTTTAAACTGTGATTAGTGGAGGTGTCATTTGTTTAAAGACTTGAAGGAGGTGAAGGAGTGAGCTGTGCAAATCTTCAAGGGAAGAAATTGCCAGCAGAGACCCTGAGACAAGAGTGAGCCTGGTATGTTTCAGGAACAACCAATGGCCAGAGTGGCATGAGTGAGGGGGGGTGGGAGAAGGTGAGGCCCGAGAGAGTACTGGTAAGTGAAGGAACGGCTGGGCACACAGAGCCAGGCAAGGGGCCGCTCTCCTATGCTCTAGCAGCAGACATCCTGGCAGGGCCATCAGTGCCCTGTTTCCCATGGAAGGGGCTCAGGAACCTGTATTTTTCTAGTGGAAGAGCTTGGTGGTAGTGGGCACATCTGCTGCTTAACCAGGCCCAGCCAGGGCTGGACACAGTGGCTAGCTATTCTGACACTTCTCCCTTGGGCAGTGGGGGCCAGTTCTGGCTGGGACCTCTTTGTTCAGATGCCTGACTAAGGAGAGAGGCTAAGGAGCCTAAGGAGCCTGTGCTAGGCCCTCTTGAGTGCTCCTTCCCTTGGAATCCTAGAACCACCTAGGTTTGTCTTATCTCAGAATGCCCAGCTGAGAACAGGCAAGGAACCTCTTCCCAGTGCTGCAGGGTAGGGAGGTAAGGGATAGAAACCACAGGGACTTCATCATTGTGGCCAGCTGGTCCTCAGGGCCTTTGTGGTCATGTTGGTCCTTAGCTCCTAGAAGCTGGCTAGCTACAGAGCCGTGCTTGCCCCAGTATCCTCCCAGCCACTGAGGAGGGCTTGAGAGCTGCCCCCTCTGTAAGGCCCATTGTTCTGGTGTTACACCAAGGGAAGTTGTACTGTAAAATAAGGTGGATACAAGATCTAAATTTTTTTTCTTGCAAAAGAAAGAAAAGAAAATACTTACCTGAAGCTGTAGCAAAGATGACCCATTGCATCTGACTTGCTCTGAATCAATATGATAAATGTCAGTGGCCAGATTTATCAGAGGTCCTGCCCCAGGTGAGATATGCCATGCCTCCTTCTCCAGGTGTGAGGCACTCAGGACCACAGGACTCTGGGCAGGCAGCTCACAGGCCTGGCAGCTGCACTGCTCTTTGCTCCAGGGGAGAAGCACAGGGCATCAACCCAAGAGCAAGGCCTGAGTGCTCTGTTTTGGGCAAGGGTAGAAAAGCATGGAGGCTTGGAGTGCCTTGTAGGCTTATCCCAAGGGGACTGTGCTGTGATAGGAACCCCTGAGAGACCTCTGCCCATGGCCTGAGAGTCACCCTGTGAGGTTGCTTGCTTGTTTGTAGGAAGCAGATGTGTTGGGTGAATTGTGCCATTCATGTTCCTGTTCTCTCTGTGTTTTGGCCAGAAACAGGCTGTCTGTCCTCTGGGACAGAGGAAAGAATAATCAGCACCTGCATTTTTCAGTTAAAACCTCTGTTGTTTGACAGTCTTGCTGGCTTTCTTCTCATGGCCTTGCAAAAGCTGGTGTCTTTGGATGTCAGGGAGTCAGGACATCGCCTCAGCTCCACAATCGTGCTCTGTACAGAGCAGTAGCTGGGGTTGGACACCCAGTCTCTGTCATCTCCATGGCTAAGTGGCTCACCATTCTGGTATCTAATGTCCCCATGTTAGGAGACATGAGGCCATTCAAGTAATACCTGGTAGTACCTGCATAGCATTTGAGGAGGAAGAAAGGGAGAGGAAGCTGTGGTCTTCCTCTGTGGCCTACAATTTGTATGCTTGTGGGGTTGGAAACACCAGATGGAAGGCAGCTCATCTTGGCTCAGCTCAAGATGGTTGGGTCAGGTGGGAAAATTTTAACTGCATGCCTTGGTCCCCTCTGATGAGCACTTCCTTTCTGCTCCTTTAAAACATTTCATGTCAGTGTGAAGGATGTGACAGGCCTTTCTCCATCTACAAAAGCGACACCTCTGCTGAAGCATTCACCAAATGTGTGTTCTGCCGGATGGATGAAAGACACTTGTCAACAGACGCCACATCACCATCAGAAAGAGAGGATTCCTTGGCAAACAAAGACAGTGCATACAAGGATGACTGATGGCCCTTTGAGTGACTTGAGCACCAGCCACCTGCCACATAGGTTGTGGGGTTCTGCAGGGACCTTTCTCTGGGCCCAGCTGCATAAGCCCATCAGATTGGGGCAGGGCCCAAGCTCTGGCTGCACTCTTACCATATCACTACCTCCTCAGCCCCCTAGTACCTTTGGGGAGCAAATATTTTCTTTATTGTTTTCATTCAGAATAAATCTAGATTTCTTTGGAAAACAAGTATGCATGTGAATTCTAAAAGCATTTTTGTCTTTCTAACCTTTATGTCCTGGTGTTTATCTGGTCTCATTTTTGTGGACTTACATTCCTTTTGGGGTCTGGAATTGCCCTGAAGGCAGCCTTTGCGGCCTGGCACCAAATGCCTGGAAGCATTTGTGGAATGAATATAAGAATGTGCCCTCTGTGGATGAGGCTGTACTGTGGCAAGGCATTGTGGGTGCTCCCAGATGGAGGCATTCTCAGAGCAGAAGTAGTTCTGGGGGTGAGCCCAAAGCAGAGAAAGGCGGACGGTGAGCATTTCTGTCATAAGATGTTTCAGTATCTACTCCAGACTCCTCAATTCCAGAATGCCTATGCATATGTGCAGCCCTCTTCAGGCTTCCACAACATATAATACAACATAAATCAATTTCTCTAGGAAGAGTGAAGGTTTCAGCTAATGAACATGAAGAGTGTGCTTTACTAGTTGACAGGGTTCACTTGATTTTCATTAAATGTCATTAGCATGCTCCCTAAGGAGCTCTGTAGGAGCTCTGGTGGTGAAGTGCCCAAGGCACTTGACTGCTAACCAGAAGGCTGGCAGTTCAAACCCACCAGCGACTCCTGGGAAGGAAGGTTGGGCAATCTACTTCCCTAGTGATTATCCCTGGGAGCTCTGGTGGCATAGTGCTTAAGGCACTTGACTGCTAACCAGAAGGCTGGTGGCCACTCCTCGGAAGGAAGGTTGGGCAATTCACTTCTGTAGTGATGTTGTTGTTGTTGTGTGCCGTCGAGTTGGCCCCGACTCATAGCGACCCCTCCTTGGGTTTCTGAGGCAGTATCACTACGGAAGTAGAGAGACACCGCCTCGAAAACCCAAGGAGGGGTCACTATGAGTCCGGTCAGGTCAGACTCAAGGGCACACAACAACAGCAATATCTCCTGGGAAACCCAAGGAGATGTAGCTGGTCTGACTCCATGGCACATAACAACAATAAGGAGCTCTGGTGGTGTGGTGCTTAAGGCATTTGCCTGCTAAGCAGAAGGTTGCTTGTTCAAACCCACCAGCCACTCGGTGAAGGAAGAATTTACTGCTGTAAAGATTTACCACCTTGGAAACCCAATGGGGTTGCTACCAGTTGGAATCACTCAGTGGAAGTGGATTTTTTTTTGGGGGGGGGGAGTTAGTATGCTCCTCTGTCCACTTATGAAAGTTAATTGCAGAATTGCAATTAGTTAATATAGTGATTCTATGTGTGAATCCTGTAACCTGGTAGTCATTTTAGTCATTTTTTGGGCTTGATGACACTAGGTGACCGTTCAGACTTATGCTGGCTATATTTATACATTTATTGGCATGCATGATGTATGATTATACTGTAAAAATTCCGCTTCACGCCCTCCCAGCAAGTGGGTTCCTTTGAACACAGTGCTGTCGCTAGTGGCCTCTGTCCTCCCAGATGGTTTTGAAGCTTCACATACTAGAAGACGTGTAGCTGTTTTCTTCTCCTCCATTGATGGGTACTTGAGTTGTTTCTTTTTCTGCTGTTACAAATAATACTGGCGAGAATCATCTTGTGCATGTATTTCGCACAGGCTTGCTATGCAGGAGAATCCCACCTGAGGAAGTGAGTGATCAGGTGAACAGTGTTTGGTTTTATTTTTGCCCAAATACCCCTTGAAAAGTGTGGGAGGAAATGGCTTGTGTCTGAGTGAGGAGACGCAGAAGGGGCGAGAAGGTGGGAGAGCCTCACCCCGCTCTAGCAGCAGAAATCTCCACCCATCCAGTATCTGTGCTCCACGGTCAGGGAAGTATGTGAAGCTTCAAAACTATGTGGGAGGGCAGAGGCCAACTAGCAACAGCACTGTGTACAAAGGAACCCAATTGCTGGGAGGGCGTGAAGCGGGCGTGATCCTGGGCCCGGAGATGCCCAGGATCCTTCAATGCTCCTAATGGCCCCTTGGGCACCAAGGTCTCTCAGGGACCAGCGCCTCTCAAGAGCCCCTCAGTACCCCAGAATCCTATGCCTGCTCACGGTATGAGGTCCCGAAGGAGGCTATGGGTCTGGTCTCACTGCCAGGCCTGGCAGGCAGGAGGCCCATATCACACGCGCTCACCACCAGAAAATCTGGCTGCCATGGCTTTATGCCAGAGCCAATTCGTAAAGCTGGGAAGCCTATATGCCGCCAAAACTTCCTGCCTCTGGCTCCCTCCTAACTCCTAGATCAAGATAACCCTGTAGGACCCACGTCACACAATGCACATGCGCACATTATCGGGTTAAAAAAAAAAAAATACGCATGCGCGCAGCAATCGTAGCAATAGCAATGAGAAACAAATTCTCACGGCAAACGTGCGGGTGGCGCCGTGGCTTAGTTGGTTAAAGCGCCTGTCTAGTAAACAGGAGATCCTGGGTTCGAATCCCAGCGGTGCCTGTACCGAAGAGGGTATGTTTTTTTTCACCCTGGATTTTATGGCCTGCACTCCCACCCGGCTCCTGGTCCGTTTGAGGTTA